CTCATCTGCCTCCATCATCTGCCTCCATCATCTGCCTCCATCATCTGCCTCCATCATCTGCCTCCATCATCTGCCTCCATCATCTGCCTCCATCATCTGCCTCCACCATCTGCCTCCATCATCTGCCTCCATCATCTGCCTCCACCATCTGCCTCCATCATCTGCCTCCACCATCTGCCTCCATCATCTGCCTCCATCATCTGCCTCCACCATCTGCCAGCCCGGACCTTGAATGGGTCAGTCAGGTACTAAAATCCTGGGCCACTTTTTTGCCCCAGTCCGCCCCTGTACTGAGCTCTACATGTCCTCTTATAAACTCTCAAAATTACTACGTGTATGACTGTCTAAATGTGAAACAAATAATACACAAATACTAGTAAAAGTAAAAGATGTTTTTTTGATGGTAACTTTCACTGAGGAGTTGTGGTGAGTAGCTGCTCTCTTCAGTTCTGAACTCTCCCACTTCCCAGTATAACTGGGAAAAGTAGCCAGCAAAATTTCAGCTAAACGACCACTTTGAACCGTAGAAATGAATATCACTAAACTTTTTTTAAATTCCACGTTTTATGATTCAGCAATTTTTTCATTAAGAAGTGTCTTATACTTTAATTAATATTGACTAAACAAAGAGTAAAAGTTCTTTCTGTTCAACAGAGCAGTGATCTGAATGTTATTAAAGATGATGAAGCTACAGCATCATTTCTGTTTTTTGATAATCTATTTTCCCTTTCAAATTTCAGCTCTTTTCTGTTTCAACATAAAATAACAGGCTTTTACCATAGAGTTAAATAACACTAGAGTGAGCCTCACCTATCACCATGTTAACATTTGTGATATCATGGAGGAGCAAAAATGGTAACTAAACAAGAAGAAAGCTCACAGCCAACAAGACAACAGTTTAACTCCAGCTGGATCTGTGTCAGTTTTTTGTGTACCTATATCATACATGTGTAATACTATCTTGAGTAAAATACAATCATCAGTTTTTGAGCTTAAAAAGAATAAAAAATCTAATCATCATGTTATGAGCCACTACTCATTTCTGACAGACTTGAGGACCTTTGTGGTGTGGCCTCTGGTGGTGAAACATTATTTGTGTGGGCATGTTTTGCTGCAGTGCTGCTTTTTACAATAAATTGATATCATTTTTAAGTGTGTTAATTTGATTCAACAATCATGTAAAACAGGAGATAAGGAAAATAGATCAATTATAAATAACAATGACCTAAACCAGACCTGAAGTCAGTCGAAAACTTAGACTTTTAGCTAGTTGAAAAGTTAGACCTTCAGTTAGTAACTAGAAGCACTCGGAGAGTGCAAACCTCCTCCAAGACCAGTTTCCCCCATCCTGTAATAGAGTTACAAAGAGGCACACCAATACTACAGTGCCACCTGCTGGACACTTTCAAACCCACGCCCTGTGAAAGCATCACAGCTTTGCCAATCTCAGAGTGTTAAAAGAAAATAAATTCCTGTATCCGCATCGTGATCCGAAGCATCACCAAAATTTAAAGATGTGTTCTTTGGCCCAGTACCCCCATGTGGTAAAAATGTCATGACAATCTGTCCACANCCTGTCCGAGGCCTGCTTCGAGGCAGTAAATCTTGTTTCTTCACTCGAGGTGACCCCTACAATGAAGATCTGGGAGAGAAGTTGTAGAAGTTAGACTTGGACAAGAGATGATTATTTGTGAGCTGTAGAATGAGTTCATGGCAAGAAGGAGGGGGGAGGGTGCTGGGAAACGGTATTAATGCTGACTCAGCATAGAGCTATTTATTCTGAATCTTGTCTCATTTGCTGTAACTTCAGGGCTCTACTGGCAGTCAAGTGCCTCAGAATAAATATGCAGAACTGCTGTCCATCATTGAAGAACTTGGAAAGGAAATCAGGCCCACATATGCAGGAAGCAAAAGTGCAATGGAGAGACTGAAAAGAGGTAATTTAGAGTCGAGTTAACCAAGGTAAAAAAAATGCATTAAAGCAGTAAAAGTGTATGAAATGTTTAAGAAGATAATTGTCTGTTTTCTTCTTTTTACAGGAATAATTCATGCCAGAGGACTGGTGCGTGAGTGCTTGGCTGAGACAGAAAGAAATGCAAGATCCTAGCCATAAACACACCTTCCTCCCTGCAGGAAGTACTTTTTGTGGCAAAAAAAAAAAAAATAAAATAAAAACTTGCATGGCATTTCCTCTGAAAGGAGGAAGTAAATAAAAGGATGAAAGTTGTTAGAAAGGAAAACATTTGCAAACTGAAATGACTCCTGAAGAGTCTGGACTTCAATCATGTGACACAAATTGGGAATTTGATAAGACATGGTTTTTATGTCCCACTTTTGGGATCTTAGTTTTGACTTTATTTTGGTTTTTGCATGTGAACTAGATCGTGGGTTAACCGTAGGTACTGCATGGCTTATACAGAGGTAATTGGACAAAACCTTTTCATTTTTTGATGGTATTTGGTCCGTTTTTCAGACCTGTAGAACTGAACTGAGCAGGAGAGAGGGACAGATGTGCCAAATGCATCAGCTTATCTGTGATGAAGTTGGTATTGAAATGAAAATGCCGTTACTTGCATCTTTATAAGTATTTATTACTCACTGTAATAAATTGTATTTTCAATACAGTGGACATTGTGATTGATTGTGTTTCTGTTTGGTTGAACAGACACAGTGGAGAAGTCTCCTTTTGTTTGCCAGCAGTTCCAAACTAAAATCTGCTTTTTTAAAAAAGCAGTGAGGACAGCCTCACAGAACAATCCTTTAGATCAGGGGAGTCAAACTCATTTTCACCAAACCTCATGAGCATGAAGACCAGTTTTCATGTTTAAATTTAACTAATCATCTCATTGCTAGAGCACTGTTAAACAATTACTGAGCCAGGGGCGGACTGGCCATTGGGAGTACCGGGACTTTTCCCAGTGGGCCCGTGCATCACTGGGCCGGTGCATGCAGCGAGGGAAAAAAAAGCTTGTGTAGTTGCGCTCAATACCAGTAGATGGCGATAATGCACCAATTCATTGTTTACCAACCACCAACAAAGACAGAAGAAGAAGAAAAGTATGCTGAAGAAGAAGAGGAAGAAGAAGAAGAAGAAAATGAATAATAAAAATAAGAAGAGAAAAATGGAGAATAAACGTAAGGGAGGAGAACATAACTTTAGAGAAAAAGAAAAAGCCTCTACAAGCAAATTCAGCAAAGTATCAGAAACTGACATTTATTTTCTGCTGGTGCATCATCATCATCATCATCATCCTCACTGGAACCTACATCTGGAGAACAACATGACCGAGAGGATGGTAGTCATGTAGGTGGCCAGTGGCGTCACTAGGCCTATTAAAG